CCCTCCTTCCCCGGCAGAGCATCTGGTGGATTTGAACCGTGCGCCTCTGGGATTGTAGTTGCAGCTCCTTGCCACTAGGCCACCAGAGCTCCCCTTTCACTTCTAAAGAATATCCTGGCTGTACTTTTCCCAAGGCATATTTGTTGCTGTTACAGAACTCTTCTTTTTATCTCTCTCCGCATTCTTTCTTCTTTTCCTTTCCTGCTCCTGTAACAACTCCTCCATTTGTAACATTTAAGCCAAGTCAAGCAAAATCAAACTACTTGCAAAAGATCTAAAAGAGGATTGGCTGTATTTGACAAGTTTGACTCCATGTAGAAGAATGTGGCATTAAGAGTGGAAGAAGACACATGGAGAACCTGGTTATGCAGATGAGGCAATATTGCTTGCTGAAAGTGAGGAAGACCTTGTTGCAGAAGATCAAAGACTATAGCTTTCAACATGATGACACCTCAACACAAGAAGAAAAAAAAATTCTTGCACTGAACCAATAAACAACATCACGATAGATGGAGAAAAGACTGAAATTGTCAACAATTTCATCTTACTGGGACCTACAATTAACATTCTTGGTATAAGCAATCATGAGATCAGATGTATTACATTGGGAAATTGCGCTGCAAGTAACCAAATGTTTCATCATCACCTGGATACTTAAGCATTTGTACCATCTATGGATGCTAGGTGTTTTATTTTGTTTCGTTTTTTTACCAAATATAATTAGTTAAAAATATTTTCATCCAACAAAAAGGAAATGCATTATAATCAGAACTATGTAATACCTTAAAATATCTTCATTAATGGTCTGTCAGTGTGGTACTTTAGTTGGTGACAACTTAGTGTCTTTAAATATACATATACAGCTCTGTGGCTTCATGCTGCCTAAGCATGGCGTGGCGGTTCTCACGCACCAGGTCACTATGAGTCGTCTATGACTCGACGGCACTTAACAACAATAACAATGACAACAGAGAGAGCTACATTGGCCTAGTGGACAGAAAGTTATGCTACCAAGCACAAGAGACAACTAAGAAGAAACTTGCATAAGGAGATGGCAGTAAATCAACATGTATCCCCCATCAGGGTGTTGAAGACAGGAAGTCAAAAGGCCTTCACTCATCTCTCTTCCCTGGCATCTGAGAAGATGTCTGTCAAACTGCCAGACACCTTCTTGAGCCTGACCTCAATAAGAGAAAAGCATCCTGAATGGCTGAAGGTGCAGCCATGGGCTATGTTCCTGAGCTTATCTCATCCTCACCTGATTCAAATCCTGACCTGGGAGAGAGCAGTGGACTCAGTGGTACAAGAATAGGTTACTTTATGGAGGTGGTAAAAAAAAAAAAATATGATAATCTATAGTGTGTGTATGTGTGTGTGTGTGTGTATATATGTGTGTGTGTGTGTGTGTGTGTATGTGTTTGCGTATATATATATAAAATGAGGTTAACAGTTGCCTTGGGTAATCTTTACATTGTACCCTCCTCTAATTTCTAAATAAATGGCCATTGTTGGATCCAATGGATCAGCAGAAAAACAACAAATACACACACACACACACACATACATAAACATGCATATTTTTATAGATATATCTATATATAATATTGTATATTCAATGACATATTGTGACATTTGATGTCATCAATCTTTAAAATCTGTAATGTCTGAAGTATTAGTGACATGAAATTATCATGGCTTGCCAGCATGTACTGAATGCTTCATTCTAGCAGCATGCAACCTGTTTAAGAAGTCTTTCTTTGTTATTTAATAGTGGCATGTTAGATACTACCGTAGGAGACTGGCAAACTGAAGAAGTATGCTGAGGAAACGATATCGAGATGGAAATTTTAAAAAATAAAAGATTTTTACACACACTATAAAGAAGAAAACAGGTAAGTTTTGACAAACTCGTGATACAGGTTAGGTAAGGAAGCTATATTTAGAAGATTTATGGGGTAATAAAGCTATTTAAAAGCACATACAGTTTAATTCCATACACCAAGACATTAAATTCAAATAATCCCAGAGAAATGTGGGCATCTGGTGAGTACAATAAGTATCTCACTTATAGCCTGAAATTGTGTATGCAAGTAAATATCGGTGTGATCATTTAGACTGATAAAATGTTATTGTTTTCCTTAATACAGCTGTTTTATATGTGGTGCATATATTGATTTTTATTGCAATTTTTTTTTCTTTCTCTACTTGGAAAAGAATACTGAAACGGCTGATTTCCCCACCCCCCCGCTTTGTGTTTCCAAGGACACAGAGAAAACAGAGGGTCTGAGGGGGTCAATGATCTCCTCCAGCGGAGATTTTATGGCTTAAATATCCTGATACATCACCATCAAGACTCAGACTAAATACTACTTTTGAATAAACATGCCCTCAAAAAACAAATGTCATTGGTACATTAAAGCCAATGGTAATGAAGTAAGAAGTTCGAGTTACACTGAAGGCACTGGCAAAAATAAGGACCCAGGAACTGATGGGATACCAATTGAGGTATTTCAACAGATGTATACCTAGAATCACTCACAAGTCGATGCTAGGAAATTTGGAGGAGAGCTGGGTGGCCAACTGATTGGACGAGAGCCATATTTGTTCCCATTTATAAGAAAGGTGATCCAAGAGAATGCAGAAATTATAGAACATTCATGCAAGCAAAATATTGCTAGAGATCATGCAAAAACAGCTACAAAAGTTCACTGATAGAGAACTGCCAGAAGTTTAACTTTGGTTTAGAAGTGGCCCTGGCACCAGGGATATCATTGCTGATGTCAGATGAATCCTGGCTGACAGCAAAGAATGTCTATTTGTCTTTTATTGACTATAAAAAGGAAAATGACTGTGTGGATTTAATAAAAAAAATTGTAAAAAAGATGGTATGGCTAACAATGAGAAAACAGTAAATGCCAAAATACTTAAATGTGCTCATGTGAAAGCTTTACTTTATATAAAAAAACTGATATCCAAATAGAACAAAGGAACACGTCATGATTTAAAATCAGGAAACATGTATGTAAGGATTGTATCCTTTCTCCATAGCTATTCACTCTGTACACTTAGCAAGTCATTCAACAGGCTGGACTCCGTGATGGAGAATGTAGCATCAGGACTGACGGAAGACTCAACAACCTCTGTGATGCAGATAACACAATTTTGATTGCTAAAAGTGTGAAGGGCCTGACACACTTGAATTGCATCTCAACATCAAGATGACAAACTTCCTCACCACTGGACCAATAAGCAACATCATGATAAATGAGAAAAGACTGAAATGGTCAGTGAGTTCATCTTAGTGGGATCCACAATCAACACCTCTGATACCAGCAGTCAGGAGACCAGGAGACATACTGCAATAGGCAAATTCACTAACTGTGAACTCTCCAAATTACAGAGGAGCAATGATGTCAGTAAGGAAATGAAGGTGCACTTGATTCAGGCCATGGCATCTTCAATTTCTTGCTATGCTTCTGAGAGCTGGACAATTAATAAGGGTGACCAAAAAAGAACTGATGCTTTAGAGTTGTGGTATTGGATAAGAGCACTGAATATCCCATGGATTGCAAAAAAAAAAAAAGGAAACAGGTATGTCTTGAAAAAAAGGTGGAGGAAGAGTCCTCCTTGGAGGCAAGGATGGTGACATTTCACCTTGCATATTTTTGGCACATTGCTAGGAGAGAGGCTATGCCTTGGAAAGGAAAATATTCAGAAAGATGGAGGGTCAAAGAAAGTGAGGAAGCTCTTCTATGAGATGCACACAGTGCAGCAATAATGGAATGAAGTGTATCAGAGATGATGAGGATGTCACAGGATAGGACAGGGCTCAGCTCTGTTGTTCATAGGGTCATGAAGAGTTGTATTGGACTTGATGACCCCTAATAACAACAAACCTTTAAAGAAACCAAACCCACAAACCAACTCATTGCCATTGAGTCAATTAGATGGCTGGTGGAACATTAGGTTAAGAAGTGAACAGGTAAACTAAAGGCTGGTGGTTCAAATCCATCAGCCTCTCTATTGGAAAAAGATGTACAGTGTGTGCTTCCATCAATATTTAGAGGCTAAGAAACTAGTTGGGGCAGTGTGACTCTGTCCAATAGGATCACTATTGTCAGGATTAGAACCAAAGACTTAGAGGAGGCAAAAGTGACATCAGACCCTGAAAGCAAACATTAACATACATAAAATGAATGCTTTAAGTGCAAAAGTAATATCAGAAGCAGCGGATACGTTAAGGTTCATGAATGATGTCAGAGAACACAGAGCAGACTGAGAACCACCCACTGAACTTTGAACTCTCCATGGCATCATCTCATTGGCCTCAAAACCCTATCAGGAAAGAAAGCCATAAACAGAGCCTCCCCTCACTAGCCACCTCCCCTCTGTATATCCTTTCAAGGAGAGATGCCTGTCCCTTTGGGATGTAACTCTCTAATAAGTGCATCTTTACCTTTTACCTTCACTTCAATAATCTTTTTCTTCTTGCCCTTCACTAAAAGAAAGCTTTGACCTAAACTTTAATTGTCCATAAGCTAAAGTTTTCTCTTCCAAGAAACCCTAAAATTGCTCCACACTATCCTATCTTGGCACTTAGGCACTGGCCTCTCCTCTATTCTCTTCTGCCTGGCACAGTTCGTTGACTTGTGCAAAAAAGGGTGAAGTAGGGCCCTTGGCCACAAGGTACCAACTGAGTCAGAAGTGATTCTATGGTAGTGAGTTGGGGATTGAAGATTGCATTTGAAAGGCGGTTGAAACGCCATACCTCAGATCAGTTCTGTAACTCAAGTGATTCAATCATGATGAAAAACCAGCACATAATTGACAAAAGTTTGTGTAGGGGCCAATGAACAAACGGGAAATTATTTTAATGTTTTGATAAATGTGTTGCATTTCAAAAGCTCCTAATAGAAATATGCAATAGAATGGTTTTGTAAAGCACTGCATTTAAGTGTTTTGAATGTCACACTCAGTTTTAGAAATGAGTTTTAAATTACCTTAAGTTGTTCTTCCAAGGCAGCCGTTGCTTGGTCCCCACTTGTTTCATCGACCACCACTACCATGTGAGTGAGAGAATTCACTCTGACTTGTTCCTGTTCTAGGTCTTCTTGAAGCACCTGAAAAACAAAGTTATTGCTGTTGGTGGTGTTTTAAAAAGTAGGGGATTAAAAAATGTGAAAGAATACTCTGTTGACCTATATGTAAAATCTGAATCTTTCTAAATGTGTGTCATTGTGGGTAATGCGATTTTTTTTAAAACGAGAACCACTGCATGCAAATTTTCTGCTCTACTGCTGAGAACAATTTACATTATTCCATTGTCACTTGAAGTTAAAAGCATATAAATAGAGCACATGTAGCCAAAAAGAATGCAGGTAATATGTCTCCTTCCTTGTCCCATTCACTCTCAGTTGTTTATCTTTTTAAAAATTGTGTTCAAGTTATTAAAGTACAAAGGAAATAAAGTTTTCAGTCAGCCAGTCATTCACATTTTGTTTTATAAGATTAACTTCTGTATACAAGATGAAATTTACATTTTCCCACTTTCTCACTCTAATTCTGATGTCCATGAATCTATCTCTGCCTATCTTCCCTATCTTTACTGACACTATATTTATCCTACCTTTATTCCTTTTCCATCCACCTATTTCAGTATGTCTATTGCAAGAAGCTGCAATGCAATCCTGAAGGCGAGCAGTTGAAATACATCAACTGCTCCACAGAGAAGGATGGGCAATCAATCTCCTCCCATGCGATTAACTGCCTCTGAAAACCCAGCAGAGGTTTAGCTATGAGTCAGTTCTGACTCAACAGTACACAATAACAACAACATTATATATTTTAGGGAGCTCTGGTGGCCTAGTGGTAAAAAGCTAAGCTTTAATTTCAAAGGCATATAGTTCAAATCACTAGCTGCTCCATAGGAAAAGGATGGGCGATCTCTTCTGTGAATAACTACCTTTGAAAACCCTCCAAAGGGTCAGCTATTCTGATTCCATGGTACACAATCAAAGCATTATATATTAACTGGTTTTACTTATGCACAGGCTCCTCCCTTAAAGATTTATGGGCTGAAAAACTACACGAATGTGTAACAAATTGATGACAGCTGGCTCTACTCTACTGAAACGCTCTGTCATCACTTAAGATAAAAGCCAACTCTCTTTAACAAAATCTTTCAGGTAATCCCTCTTTTTTGTTCCTTTTTACAGAAAAGCATTTTGTGCTTTCTGCACTGATCGTTTCCCCTACCTTGAAAGAATGTCCTCTTCATCCACCACCTCATGGCAACATCTCTTGTGAAAGTCACCGTCAACTCCTGTTCCCCAAATCCAATAGTCGCTATTCCCCTTCCCCAGGTCATCACACTTTACTTTCACGTACCACATCCTCATAAATACCCCTCCACCTCACTAGCTGCAGCTTTTCAGTTCCCTTCTTTTGGCTCCTTCTCTTTTGTGAAAATCAAATCAGATGCCATTTTTGTGTTTGAAAGCCAGCGGATTACAATCATACTAGGAAAAAAGTCTAACTTCTTTATCAGCAACTTGTATAGAGTCAAAAGCTGAAACCCAGTTTAGGTGGAAATCCATCAAAAAAAAAAAGAGTACTCCAATATTTAACACTTAAAATGAGTAAAAGAAAAGTGGCTCGCATGCCCTTTGTCAAAGGGAGAAAATGTGAAAGACCTTGAAAAAGACGACAACGCCTTAGAGGTGAAGCTTAAACAATTTGCACTGTACAGTCTAGCACCTGCCTACGAATCCAGGTTAATTGTGTCACATTCCTGGCCTTTCTTGCCTTTCAGCCACTGTTTTCTTCTCCCCCATGCACTACTCAAGTTATTCTTCTCATCCTCCAGATCTTTAAATAATCCTTCATTATAATTCAGGACTTAAGTGTCACCCTCTGGCCTCTCAGAAGCTTGCCATCCAAATTTGTTCCCTAGTTTCATGCTGATGTAACCATAGTTATATAACTGTTGCGGTTTCTGCTGCTGCTACTGTTGTTCACGCTATTATAGCAACTCAATTTTTCTTCTCTATTATGTAGTCATTTTGCATTTGTCTCTATTTACTACAATTTAGGAATATCCACTAGTGCAGAGAGGCTGCCTGTCCTGCTGGCGACCTCTGCTGACACTCCCAGCAAACTAAGGATCAACAAATCTCTGTTGAATGAATGACGCTATGCAGAAGGTAGATTAGTAATCACAAATAAGTATAGCCCTTCCCTCGTGGCATAGCGTTTATAATCGTGCAGAGGAAATTGTACAATTACATGCATTTAAGTAGATTTCAGTTGAACCTTGGGAGAAAAGCAGAAAATTCATGTCCAAACTTTTGAGGGGAGAACAAGTATGACTCCAAACATCACTGTTTTCTCTAAATGGAGTCGCCACACTGCAATCCTTTCTTAAACCATGAAATATACTTTTAAAGATAAAACTAAACAGAACAAGTAAATAGAAGTCACTGCCATAGAGTAGATTTTTACTCATAGAGAATTTATTGCATTTTAAAAGAAAGAAAACATTGTAGTTGAGTCAATCCCAACTCACAGTAACTAAATCTTAATAGCATCAAGCAGCTTTACCGTCCTTCCATTGATCCGGGAGAGGATTTGAACCCATGTAACACATGATGCCACTAAGGGTATGCAAAGAGAGTTATAAATAGATGGGACACAGAGAAGGGGTCAACAGGGAAGGTTTATTCTAAAACCAAGACAACCTGCATGAGGACCCCAATTCTCCCAGACTTTGATTACACCAGTTATGATTGGCATCTTCCTGAATGGGGTTCTAAGACTGCTGGTCATCAAATTTACTCCTTGGATAGTTTTCATGATTTCATATAAGAATGGACAAAACCGTTTTGGGTCATGACCTGTGTATTTCTGAAAAGCCTGAAGTACCTGCTTATTAAGAGTCACCAGACTATATTATCTTTATTCCAAACATAGGCAAGTATAGGAGGCCTGGAGGGATATGTACCAACTCAGACTGCTACCTCAAAGGTCAGAGGTTCAGATTTACCAGCAGCTCCAAAGGAGAAGAACGGTGTCTTTGTCCATAAAAATGTAAAGCCTCTGAAACCCAGTCAACTTGAGTCAGACTCATCTCCAGAGCAGTGGAATTGGTTTGAGTTATGACAAGTAGTAGGCCACTTATTAGGATGGCTGCAATACCACCTCAAATGTATGAACATTCGTATTCAGGATTTCAACTTTCTAAATCTCAACATTTGAAAGCACTGTAAAAATCTCTTCATTTTACTTTCTCTCTCTGGATTTCATGCTACATTTTCAAGTGAAGCAATTTCAAGTAAAATGACTATCCATCTATTTTGCATGTGGAGTCTATACTGCCTATCATGCCTTAGACATTCCAGAGTTAATGCTGGTTAATAAAACTCTCTCCGACATGAGAGGCTGAAAATGGAAACATTAACATTCAGAGCTGTCCTTGACAGCCATGTGGAGTCTGTGTTTCTGAGTTATATAAGACAGGTTGGGAAAGTTTTAACTGTGTCAGACAGTTGTTTTAAAAATAATAATAAAAGTATTTTTTTCTTTTAAAAGTATTAATTTATTGGTCAGCATTTCCTAAGTTAGTTTCTTGAATTTAGCCAATTCTTTGGGGTTTGTGTACTAATATATTATCAACCCAGTCCAACAATCCACTCCTAGGGATCTTAGAGGAAAGAGAGCAACATAACAGATTTTCTGAGGCTGTAAATTTTTTTTTAAGCAGACTGCTCTGGCTTTGTCCTATGAAACAGCTACGGGGTTTGAACTGTAGAACTTCTGATTAGTAGCTTAACCCTTAATCTAGTGGGCCACCATTCTACGCACTATCTTTAAGTCAATTTTAATGACCTATAATGGCACAGTATGATTGGAGCATGAGGTTTCCATGACTGCACAACTTTACTGAAGCCGAATGCAGCACTGTGTTCCCATGAAGCAATTGTTGAGTTTGAACAACCTATCTTTCTTTCAGTTAGAAGCTCACCACTCGAGCACTACTGCTCCATTAAGGAAATCTTTTTCAGGATCACAATTTAAAATGCAACTGTTTAGCTTTACTCTTGAATGCCTTTCCATAGAGGACCTTGGGAAAATGAGTGCGTGGCCTATGAAATTCTGCCTGCAAAAAATGCCACCGGTGCCCCATTTTTTATATTCTCCAGTGCTTCCATTGTCGATTCTGCTTTATCTACTTTATCTGTAATCAGAAATGGAACTCTGGCTAGCACTGATCATGGTTTTACATTTGGGGCTTTTGCAACAGTGCTAAGACAAAATGCCAGTCAACCTGGTTGTGAGTTGAGAATGCTAAGACCATACATACCAACTATCTGGACTTATATGTACAAATAAGGAAATATCAGAGATACTGTTAACAGTGGCTGACCAATCTTCAAGAATGGGTAGTGTTGGGGAGCTTAGCATAAACAGCTTGAATTAATATTATTTTCACACCGTATACTTTTCTGTCTTGCAACCTTTTAATAATGCTACCTATGTATTCTCTCCTGCAACAGAAACCTCATTGTCTTCCAGTCAGAATCAACCTATAGCCGATTCTCCAGTGAGGCTATAAATTCCACCATCTTTCTCCAGCAGGACTGCTGGTGGATTTGAACTGCCAGAAAGATCCAGCCTTTTGATTAGTGTGGCTCCCTGTGGACTACATATTCAGAGCTCATAATCAATGTCCAAATGGTAAAAGTTGAGCTATCACCCTGAGCATATGCCGTAGCGGGAAGACATAAGTTATTGTAAAACTGCAGCCAGATGTATGACTTTCTCAGATTTCAGCTCAGAAAATAAATGTTAGCAACCATGACTGACAATAATAGCTAAAGCTTCTCCCTTATGTATCAGCAAAACCCAAACGATTTTAAAACATCCCGTGTCTAGACGCCATAGTTTAAACATGAGTCCTAGGAGCAGCAGAAATACAATACAAAGAGTTGAAATTTAAAAAAAAAATACTTTCTCCAATCTATACATATATGAATGAGGGCCTTGATTGTTAAAATATTTCTGCTTACTTGCATAGTTAAGAAAATAGGCATTTTCAAGCCTATCATTTTTTAAGAGACAGTAA